ATGCATCAATAGATTAAGCATGGGCATTCAGCACGTGCACATGCACGCGCACACACACTCGCACACATACACACACACACACACATACACACACACACACACACACACACACCCCTACCCCTCTAAACTGGAAAGCTTCATTACCCGAGCCTCTTGTATCCGTTGGAGCAGGCTGGTAGATACACAGGTGACTCACCCAGATGCCCCTTCAAGGAAGGACTTGACTCCCGGTGTTAGCGCCATCGGGTCTCAGTTGCAGAGCTGCCTGGACCGGGCTGCGCCCTTCTCAGCCCAGTTGGGGTTAACGGCCTGACCTGCAGCCCGTGTGCGACCCTCTGACAACAGTTGTTAGAGTTCTCTGTCAGGTTGATGCTGGCTTTGTAGGGCCTACATCACAGTTCATCTTTTCTCTGCCCCATCTGCTTCCTCCTTGTCATCTCGTGGGTGCCCATCTCTAAGAAGCATCTTCCACCCAAGCCAGGCCTCAGCATCTGCTCCAGAGACCCCTGCCTGGGACCTGCCCACAGGTCTCTTGCTTCCCAGCATGCGTGTGACCTATCTGTCCTTTTAGACATTTTCGTGATGTGCTTACTTCTAACATTTCCTTGTAGACTTTGTTTTAGGTTTCTTTGCTGTATTAGTGATTAATATTTTAAGTACATAAGTGAGGCTGTTTGGGGGATATTAAAAATGTAAGATTAGGTCATCCTCTTTAAACCTGCCCACTTAAGTATGAATTTTTGAAAACCTCAGATCATCTATGCATGAATTTTAGATACTCAGTGGGAACAACTAGAGAAAAGGGAATGGATAGAGAAGAATAAATCACATAGCGGCAGGAATAGAAGATTTTGCTAATTTTTCAGCATATTCGGAATATAAACTGAGGTGTGATGTGGCATAAAGTTCCCGTGCGTAGACCTGGACACAAAAAGTGTACAGCAAGTAAACTTGACAGTGTGACATGAGAAGTTGTATTTGATCTCATAGATTATCAGAGAGTTTTAACAGAGTAAGATTCATAATTGGAATCAGAAATGTATACAAAGGATAGAGAATATGTAAAGAACATATTTGATGTGCTTATGCTGAGATAGCAGAATGGAGGTGTTATGAAAAATCCACATTGACCATTTTATTTGGTATATTTTAACTTTGCTAGAGGATTGCTGGTATCTTGACTTTATCTTTCAAATTGTCCTGATCGTTGCAGAGTTTATCTTAGTTTTTCAAAAGTCAGGCTTTAAAAAAAAAAAAAAAAAAAAAGTGGGCTTTCTTAAATTTCAAAATATTTGAGTAGATTTAATGCTGATGCAATTAGGACTGACTTACTAACTCTTTAAAGCTATCAGCTCTTTTAATTGGAGATGTTGAGGTTTCCTCATTTAACAAATAGGCAATTGGTTGTTTTTTCCTATGACTTACAGTAGTTTAACTGTTTCGACACCCTAAAAATGGAAGAACCTAAAATTCAGACTACAGTGTATTAGTTTGTGGTCCTGCTACTTGGTAGCATTAGGAGCTTGCCAAGTTTGATTGCTTCTTTGAATTAGTTTCTTCCACTGAAGAGGAAGGGTCAGAACTATCATTAAGGTTAACCTCTAATTGCCAGTGATTATATTTGGCTCTTAAGAACAAATGCTTTTGGTACACAAATGCATAGCACATAAAGTTTCTGATTTACAAGTAGGTTATATACCAAAAGTTATGTGTCAGCATCTTAGAAAGAAGTATACTTGGCTGGGCGCCCCATGGCTCACACCTGTAATCCCAGCACTTTGGGAGGCTGAGGCAGGAGGATTGCTTGAGCTCAGGAGTTCAAGACCAGCCTGGGCAACATGGCGAAACCCCATCTCTACCAAAAAAAATTTTAAAAAATAAATAATAAAAATTAGCCAGGCATGGTTGTCCTAACCTGTAGTCCCAGCTATTTGAGAGGCTGAGGTGGGAGGATCACCTGAGCCCAGGGAGTTGAGGCTGCAGTGAGCCATGATCACGCCACTGCACTCCAGACTGAGCAACAGAGTGATACCCTATTTAAAAATAAATAAATGAATAAGCACGCTTTATTCCGTCAGTGTAGCATTATGAGCGTAGACCATGTCTGTTTACCGTTAAGAGTAAATAATGCCTAGGACGGTGCCTGACATATGGTAGCTTCCTACTAAACATTAAAACTAAGTAGTCACTAAAATTCTGTCATTTTCATAAGCCTGTTTAAACACTGTGTTGGGATATGTATATATTTGCAATGACCAAAATAATGTAAAACATGACTAAATGAAACAAGACATAAATTTTAGCCTAAAATCCAATATTTGAAGGAAAAAGTTTAGAAGAAACGAGATAGAATTTTGTAGAGATTCTAAAGAGGGATTTTGAGCAAGTTCAGATGCTTGATGATACTGGCATTTTATTCCTAAATCTTCTTAAGACATATAGCTTTTCAATTCCCTAATTTATTCCTTCATTTATTTATGTAAAATATTTATTGAGTGGCATGCCAGGCTCCGTATGAGGTTCTCACGAGCCTGTGGGGCTTGCACCCCAGTGAAGTGAGGGAGTTACAGTACAGAAACCAGTGCAGGATTATGGCCCGGAGTAAGTGTTAAGAAGGGAAAATCCCATTTAAAGGCAAACCTGAACATCTTCTGGGACTTCCTAGTAAGGCTCCTTTGAAAGTATGACTGGAAGTCAACTTGAAGAAGGGGAGGAACTTTCTAGAACTGTCTAGGCAGAAGCAGCAGCAGATGCAGAGATCCTCTGGTGGGGAAAGGAGACTGGCATGGCCAGGGAAGGGACATCCGTACGGCTGAACCTGAGGGGAGGGAGGGGGAGAGTTGAGGTTTTGTAAGCGGCAAATAAAGAGAGAGAAAAGGATCTGATAGTGCCATATTAAGGATTTCCCTTCTTCAAACTCTGCCTTGGCTTCCTGTTGCTCTTAGGGTGACAGCCTATTCAGAATTAGGATGACACCGTCTTAGGATGACAGGGATTTTAGACAGCTGACTGCCATGTCAAGAATGATACAAGCAGACACAAGGTATTCCAATCTAGTTTAGACAATTAAAATAGTGGCCCAGGTAAGAGATGGCGATGATTACTAGAGGAGGAAGTGGAGATGAGCGAATGGATTTGAAGTGAAGTCCGTAGCACTTGAGTGTGAAAGGTGAGGGCTGTGGCATCAGACTCATTCCCAGGTTTCTGACTTGTGGATACATGTGGTGTTGCCACTCACTGACACGGACAAGGCTGATGGAGAAAGGCATTTTGGGGGGCAGAGTAGAACTTTTTTTTTCAGTTGTTGATAGAAATTGTAAGACAAGTAAAAGGAAAAGGAGTAAAAGAGCATCTAGAGAGGTATGAGAAAGATCATCCAAGATAGAATGAACTGAACTATGAGTTTGGGGAATTTAAGTGATTATTTCCCCTTAGGAAAAAATTAAGTGATGGGGAAAGTAGGGTAGGTCCAAACAGTTGATGCTCTCAGATGGCACCACCAGTCCAAAACATGCTTATTATTATTAAGTGTGCTATTGACCCTCCCAAAGTAGATGATGAAAGGAAAGCACATGGAAACTACACACAGGAAACATTTCCAGAGTGGTTGCTGAGTTGTCAGTTTCTTAAAACTTGAGGGAGTCCTTGTGTTAGATACTTTCATATTCCACATTTGAACATACCAATTTGAATGTAAGACATAAAATACTTTCAGGATCAGGAATGGTGTTGTAGATTTATAAAATAATTACAGCCCAGAATATAAATAAATTAGTTAGAGAATAGGTTTCAGTGGTTCAGACTTACTCCTTAAGCATGACCTCACAGGGTCCCTAAATGTGCCTTAGATCACACAGAGCTCTGCAATGCCATGGAGGATATAGGATGAGCTGAATTACTTGACAAGGTAACTCAGACATAGGTTCGCAGGCTTCAGTAACCTAGCCTCATTGTTCCAGATCTCGTTTACTTCCCAATAACATTTGTTTTATGAAACCGTTAAAATAATTCAGTGTTTCTTCATTTGCACTGGAAATACCTGTTTAAAACCTTTACGTTTTGATGTGATACTCATAGGTAGTCCTTAAATTATGTCTGTGATGTTATGCATTGAGAAGTAGTGGTTTGATACAATATTGAATACCTAAGTTACTTTACTTATGAGTCTAAGATGCTGAAGCATTATATATTGTATTTGGCATTAGCTTTGTGTACTTAGAAATAGTAGCCACTACCATGTGTTAAGCATTTACTCTGTGTTAAGTGTTTTCCTACATATTATCTTATTTAAACTCTACAACATCCATTTGAGGAAAGTAATTGGCCTCCATTTTGCAGACTAGGAAATTAAAGCTTAGAGAGGTTAAGAAATTCATCCAGTACTGCATGCACCTACCTAGTAGGTGTGGCACTGAGCTTCAAACTCAGGTCTCTCTGAATTCGGAGTACATTTTAAATCTTGATAATTCTTGCCAGATTCCCTCCTTAAAAAGGGAGTGCTTATTTCCTTTCATTTTCAGCCTCACCAACATTTGCATTCTCGCTGAATTCGAAGAGAAAAGTTACTAAAAGTCCTAGGTAACCCGTGAGATTGAATGATTTTTCCTATTTATTAGCTGTTTGTGTTCCTGGGAATTTCCTAAGCATATCCTTTGCCCTTTTTTCTTTGAGTTTGTCTTTCTAATTGTCATCTAGGTCAAATGATATATTTTTTTGATAACTTTAGAAGGCAGAGAAAGGCAACAGAGTTAGTTGTGCTTGTGCAAATTTTTATCCAGCTTTTCTCTTGAGTGCTAATATCGTAATGATTTTGAACTAAATAAGCATATTTTTGTACACAGACCATATAATTAACATGAATGTGTTTCCACATAGAGAAATGGTCTCTGGGTTAGACTGGGCCCTGCTAACGCCTGCAGACTGAGTGTTTCTGTCAGTGTGTCCTACCCTGTTACAGTACCCCAGAGACAATCCACTCATTCTCTTTATTTCTTCCTCAGGTTTGCCTGCAATGAGATTTCATTCTCTACATTTAAAGGACATCCTTTCTGAGCTGCTGTGAATAAATTTGGAATGGTACTGTATATTTTCATCTAATGGAGAACTAGCTGTACTTTGAATAAGGATTGCTGCACTGGACGACTTTAGAACATCCCTCACAATGTCGTCAACCCGGAGCCAGAACCCCCACGGCCTGAAGCAGATTGGCCTGGACCAGATCTGGGACGACCTCAGAGCCGGCATCCAGCAGGTGTACACGCGGCAGAGCATGGCCAAGTCCAGATATATGGAGCTCTACACGTATCCTCCTGCCTAGCGCAGGTTGATTTGCTTAGAGTTTTGATTATTTACTAGTAAGACTTATGAATTATTAGAATTTCATGTTGTTTTCTCCTCCCAGTTCATCATGTAAAATAATCGCAGGGTTCATTTTTAGCCTTAAGTTTTTGAACGGAGTAGAACTGGTTCATTTTTAGTCAAATGCAGTGCTGGGCAGTACAGTCACCACTGGGCACACGTGGCTGTTTACATTTGAAATATTTTAAAGGTTCAGTTCCTTAGGCATACTAGCTGTGTGTTGAGTAAATAAAACATTTCTGTCATTGTAGAAGGTTCCGTTGGGCAACTCTGGTCCAAAGCAAGGTCCTGAGGTTCTCAGCAGATCGTTCGTTTTACTGTCCATTTGTTTATATGTTGTCTATGACGGCTTTGTGTTATGAGAACAGAGTTAAGTAGTTGTGTCAGGAACAGTTTTGTCCATGAAGCCTAAAATATTTACTACCTGCCCTTTTACAGGAAAAATTTCGTTGACCTGATCTATAGGGATAGAACATCGAGCACAAGTTTTCCTGTTATGGCCCTATTTTTGTGTGTGTTTGAGACAAGGTCTCGCTCTGTCACCGAGGCTGGAGTGCAGTGGTGTGATCACAGCTCACTGCAACCTCAACTGCCTGGGCTCAGCCAGTCCTCCCATCTCAGCCTCCCGAGTAGCTGGGACCACAGACACGTGCCACCGCACCTGGCCAATTTTTTTTATCGTTTATAGAGACAGAGTCTTGCTATGTTGCCCAGGCTATGGCCCTATTTTTTAAAGTACAATAGCTAAAAAGAATTTTATTCCTTTTGTTTTTGGTCCATGATGTGCATGGGGGACTGTGCTGTGTGCTACAAAGGTGATGAGGGTGGAGGAGATGCAGCTGCCGCTATTCATGTGGTTGGAAGTGCACCAGCTAATTTGGAGGTTTTCTTGATTCTGTACAATATGACATTGAAATTAGAGTTAAGCTTACTCAGGAGAGAGCAGATTGCCACTGTTTCTAGGACTTTAAAGTTGCTGACTCAACAGCTTTCAGGTTTAAATTTTTAGAATATATCAGTTACTATCAAACTAGTTTTTGTGATATTCCAGTATGTTCTTACCTATGTTAATACTTCAAAATCCTAAAAAACAATTAAGTAGATATAAAACTATGTCACTCTCAGAATTAGCATAAAATGTATTGTGTGTTTGCATATTTATATATGTATATACACTTACATATAGAATACTTTTAAAATAATAGCTTTATTGAGATGTAATTACGTACCATAAAATTCAACCTTTTAAAAAGTATACAGTGCAGTGGTTTTTAGTATATTTACATAGGTTTGCACCTATCACCACTATCTAACTTTAGAACATTTTAATCACCCCAAAACGATACCTTGTACCATAGCAGTCACTCCTCATGCCCTCGTCCCCCCAGGCGCTGGCAACCATCATTTACTTTGTCTCTATGAATTTGCCCATTCTGTACATTTTGCATAAATGGAATCATACGATCTGTGGGCTGCCTATGTGACTTCTTTGACCTAGCATGCTTGGAGGCTTCATCCTTGTAGCACGTATCACTGTGTACGTCGTTCCTTTTTATGACTCAATTGTATAGCTAGTCTACATTTTGTTTGCCCTTTGATCAGTGATGGACATTTGGGTTTTTTCCACCTTTTGACTGTTACTAATACCACTGTAAACATTGTGTGAGAGTTTTTGAGTGGCTCTGTGACTTCTGGTCTCCAGGGTGTATACTCAGGAGTGGGATTTTAGGGTGCTGTGATGGGTAGGGTGCTTTTAAAGAAGACAGAGTCTTTGCCAACTGAGAGGCTATTATGCCACCCAGCAGCGATCTGGCTTGCTAGGTATGGCATTTTCTTAATTCTTGTAAGAAAGCTGAAGGGTGGGGGTTCCACCGGTGAGGCAAAACACGGGTGGGATTTCTGATGTACAGAAAGCAGGAGAGCACTGCTCCAGAGCCCAAGGAGGTGTCACTGCTGATCTGTCTCTGGAGAATTTCTTTTTAAAATCCACCTTATTGAGATATAATTAATATGCCTTATGTCATGCTTTTTTTTTTTTTTTTTTTGAGGCAGAGTCTCGCTCTGTCACCCAGGCTTATAAGTACAGTGGCACGATCTCAGCTCACTGCACCCTCTGCCTCCCAGGCTCAAACGATCCTCCCGTCTCAGCCTTCAAGTGTTTGGGGCCACAGGCACACACCACCATGCCCGGCAAATTTTTTTTTTTCCCCCCTAGAGACTGTCTCACCAAGTTACCCAGGCTCGTCTCGAACTTCTGTGCTCAAGCATTCCGCCTGCCTCAGCCTTCCAGAGTGCTGGGATTACAGGCATGAGCCACCACGCCCAGCCTTGGGAATTTCTCTTTTTTTTTTTTTTTGAGACGGGGTCTCGCTCTGTTGCCCAGGCTGGAGTGCAGTGGCTCGATCTCAGCTCACTGCAAGCTCCGCCTCTTGGGTTCCTGCCATTCTCCTGCCTCAGCCTCCCGAGTAGCTGGGACTACAGGCGCCCTCCACCTCGCCCGGCTAGTTTTTTTTTTTTTTTTGTATTTTTTAGTAGAGGTGGGGTTTCACTGTGTTAGCCAGGATGGTTTCGATCTTCTGACCTCGTGATCCGCCCATCTCGGCCTCCCAAAGTGCTGAGATTACAGGCTTGAGCCTCTGCGCCCAGCCGGGAATTTCTTAATGTGTTCTTTCTTACTAAATCAGGTTGGTTCTTTTTCTGATGGGTTATTTTTGCTCATAAGACAGTGAAACTTTGTATGCTAGCAGAAGTTACCGAATTCTTGTATTCTATAAATTATTAAATTTGTATAATTTGTAGTTGTTCTGGTACCTGCAACTTTAATTTTTTTCAGGACTGCCACTCAAATTGGGTAGTTTTTTTTTTTCCAGTTTTGTCTGAGAAAGTAATAGCTCTATATATTTACAAAAAATTGGAGAATCTAAACCAAGTCTAAAATATCTTTCTTTAATTCTCTGGACATTTTTATGAAATAATGGCTACAGTTTGAGTCCTGTGTGTCACGCTTTGTGCTTCGAACCATCCACACCTCATTAAGCCTTATCTCACTGCGGGCTGGTGGCAGTCACCTTCCTCTGTGGATAAGCTTCAGGAACCTAGTTGTATAGCAGCTGGTAGTGGTGGTGAGGCGAGTCTTAAGATTCTCAGCAGTCTGAATCTAGAATCGCCTTTAGACCCTCTGTGTAGCCATCAGCTACTATATTTGAATGGATCCCATTTCTCAGAGTATTACATTTCTATATTTTCTTTGAGAAGTTGTGAAGTATTTTGATGAACTCTTCAATATATTAGGATAGAAGTGAAACAATAGAGTGTATACTTACATTTATTAATTACTGAAAATCGTAAAATATGATTTTACCCCTAACTCTTCACGTATCTTTTCAGCATCACTGTGAGAACTGAAAGAATTTTGAGTTGTCTGTCATGTTTTTGTAGAGCCATCTTCACTTTAAGCCATTTACACATAGTACTTTTTGGAATTGCGTATATGTTGCCATTATTCCAGCCCCAGGTTGCATAACAGAGCAGTTTTTCAGAAGTTTTCTCTTACTGGTGTATATTTGGTCATTTTAAAATAATCTCCTAAAGGCTTGTTCACTGTGACATGTAACACATGCAGTTGTGAAAGGTTGCATTTCAGGGCAGGAGGTGCTTTGGAGTGGGGAAGAAGGAGCTGGCAGTGCCTCTCATCTGTTCTAGTATCACTCTGCAAAATTCGACATGCCTCATCAGCAGTTGGCAAAGGAAGTGGGTTAGAAAGGAAAACTGGTTGAGAGAAAAAGGAGGGATTCTTTTCCTTCCCCTAACTGGTTGGTAGTTAACAGCTAGATTTTTACCCGTTGTGTATCCTGGAGAAGAAAATTGAGTGTTTTTTTAGAAAAAGCAACTGCTTCTTGCTGTAAAACAAATATTCTTGGAGTCTTTAGGAACCTGTGACATTTGTGGTTGCTGTAGCAGGGAGGTGGGTTATTCTACAGCATAAATATTTATCTTGACTTTTCAACTCAAAATGGTGAAAGAAGGGAATTTTGGAAAAGCCAAAAAATAAAAAAATAAAAAAATAAGAAAAGACAGAAAAGAAAATGACCAGAGCATCTGCAGACAGAAAGATCTACTTTAGTTAACTTGGTTTTTAGCCGTTTCTCAAAGACTTGGTTTTTCTCCTAAAGTTTTAACCTTGAGCCATCACTCTCCACTGTGAGTCTATCTGTGAAGCGCTTCCAACTATTCACTTCTAGTTTTCTGTGATGTCCTATGTGTGTATAGTTACCATGCAGCAACTGTGTGTGTGTGTGTGTGTGTGTGTGTGTGTGTGTGTGTGTGTCAGAGACAGAGTCTCACTCTGTCAACCCAGGCTGGAGTGCATTCATGAGTTCATGGCTCATTACAGCCTCAAGCTGGGGTCAGGTGATCACCCCGCCTCAGCCTCCAAGTAACTGGGACCACAGGCGCACACCACTACATCTGTCTAATTTTTGTATTTTTTGTAGAGACAGGGTTTCCCGTCTCTACAAAATTTTTTGTCTCACCATGTTGCCCAGGCTGGTCTCGAACTCCTGGACTCAAGCTATCCGCCCACCTGGGCCTCCCAAAATGCTGAGATTACAGGTATGAGCCACCGCACCCGGCCTGTTTTTCTTTTACAATAAAATACACAATAAAATTCTATGCAGGTGGGTAAATACCAGGTTTCCTTCCTTTCGAATTTGAGATGGGTATTGGCATTTCTTATTCAATTTATTGACTCCACTATATTTCAGGTGTTGTGCTTAGGTTGGAAGACAAACATGGGTCCTGGCTAGAGGCATTTAAGGGGATGCGGTGAAGTATGAGGGTCCGGCCTGGCTTGTGCAGGTGTCAGGTCATGTGTTGGAGGTTTCTGTTCATTGTTCTGGGCCCCAGACCTACCTGTGTCTTGTTTCCAGGTCACGTACCTCAGA